TTCGCTGCGGCTTTTGATAGGATTAGAAGAATTGTTTACTAACCCGTATTTGATTTATGACCGTGTTTAGCAGCAGTATAATAGAAATTCCTAACAGAATTTAACGTGATAGGTGATTTTAGCTGTATGTAATGATTTAAGCACGATAGAATAGGATTTTAGCATAAAATGTCCTCATTCTAACATTTTTTGTACGACCTTCGATATGGTTTTACAATTTTTGGTATCGACTGAATATACATCAAGGCTCGGGTTGGAGCAACGTTTCAAGTCTGGTTTAACTACGACTGAACTATGATTTTAGCACAAAATATCATATTGCTAACTCTACGGGTACGACCTTCGGTGTGGTTTTACAATTTTTGGATTTTCTATGTACATCGAGGCTCGGGTTGGAGCAACTGTCAAGCCTGATTTTAACCACGGTTGAACTACAATTTTAGCACAAAGTAATCTAATACTAACTTTTTCGGTATGACCTTAGAAATGGTTTTACAATTTTTGGTTTTTTCTGAACATAAATTGATGCTCGGGTTGGAGCAACGTGTCAAGGCTGATTAAACCACTGTAGAATTATGATTTTAGCACAAAATACCCTAATGCTAACTTTTTGTGTATGACATTTGGTATGGTTGTACCATTTTAGGTATTTTGAGCATAAATAGAGACTTGGGTTGGAGCAATGTGTCCAGCCTGATTTAATTAGGATTATGTTAGGTTGTTTCTTGGCTATAAATAGTCTTTTTCATTGGTTGTAATTCACGTTTGAATTTGATTGAAAATAAACCTACTCCGAGGAGTTTCCCAAGCTTACGAGCTTGGCTTATTCTTAGTTTTTGGCCAAGAATTGCATATCAATCGAACCAAGCATTCATCTTGGTTGATTGATAACTCTACCCACGTTAGCCTCTTCCCCTTTTGTGTTGAAGTTGTTGGCCTGGTTCTTTTCCATCCATTGATTCATCCCTCTGTTCTTGCTCGAAACCACCATAAACACCAACCTTTTCCACGATTTACCGACGCTGCGTGATTCTGAGTTCGAGACCCTTTCTTGGACTCATTAGTCTATTGGGTGTTGAGAGGAAATGGGTGTTTGGTTGGATTGATTTGAAATTTTGAATTTTAAAAAAGAAAAAATGGTAAAATAATAATTGCATTATTTTAGATAGGGGTGGCAGTTCGGTTACCAGTTATCGGTTAACCGGCCGGTTATCCACTAACCGGTAACCAAAGAAACCGAACTTTGATCGGTTATCGGAAGCTGACCAAAATGGTTTTTGTCTTAAAAGTGGTTCGGTTAACCGATAACCGAGGTAACCGACAAACCAAAGCCTATTTCGGTCGGTTTTCGGTAAGGGGTTTTTATTTCGGTTAACCGGTCAATCGGTTATTGATTATAACCGAACTGCCACCCCTAATTTTAGGGCTACAAATAGATTTTGTTTAGAGCTACAAATAGCAATTCATAAAGTAAAATCCACTTTGATGGGTTTTGGATTGGATGCGGGTATAACCCTATTCGCTAAATTGAGTTTGGATTTTTTTTATATAGAAATCTGCACACAACTTTATTAAGTAGACGTCAAAACTACATCATCCAGTTGTAACTGGTCAAGAATACTGATCGGCGGCCTATCAAACCAGACCTCTGTTACATCCCAATGAGTGTCTGATAGACCGTTAGTTGCACATGTTTTTACCCCTATTCTTGAGTCGTTTGAGATGTTGATTCTCGTGTTTTAGGCCGATTTCACGCTAGGTTGTGCTTGTTTGTGAAATTTCAGGTCCTAGTACGTGAATGAAGGTTTGGAAACGAGTTCGGGGTCGATTGGATAAAGTTTGGGCGTTTGGCGAGAAGCTGAGAAGCCACACGGGCATGCCTAAAAGCCACACGGTCGTGTAGGGTACCCCTTGTGGCCGTGTGGAAATTCCAGGGAACTCACACGAGCACCCTGGAAAGCCACACGGCCGTGTGGGTCGTGGCCGTGTGGCGTTTTGCACACTCACACGAGCAGCCTGGGAAAGCCACACGGTCGTGTGGCCTGGCCATGTGAGTCGGGAATTTCTGGTTTTAAGCCAATTTTGAGCCAAAGGAGAGGGAGAGCTGGGTTTTTGGATCCCAAACACCCAAGGGACGAGCCCTAGAGAGAGAGAGAGCGACTTGGGAACATTCTTAGAGCTATTTTGGAGGATTTCTTCGCCATAGGAGCTCGGGAATCAAGTTTGGAGAAGGAGATTGAAGATCAAGATGAGATTTCTGAAGTCTCTCTCTTCTCTATGGAGTAACTTCCCTTCACTTATGTTTTGAGGAACCCTAGTTCCATGTGTTAGGATCTTTCTTGTGTGAAGTTTTGGATGCTATATTGTTTGATTATAATAAATTGAGGCATGATTTATAGAGTCAATTGAAGCTTGATCATCTTCTCTTGATTTCTGCTTTAACATATGATAGATAGAATCTGATTAGGTTAAGGGAGCTTCCTTGATTGATAATGGTGAATTGGTTGTGCGAGAGTCAATCAATTCACTGCTTTGTACTGGAATTCATTCCACTAGTGGAGATCTGTGTGAATCGCCTTAGCAGTCTATCCCGGTGAAGGCTAGTCGCCTGCCGGGTATTCTGTCTAAGAGGGCTTGGTCAGCTTAAGAGATTCCAAGCTAATTTAGGATCTTTCCCAGTTTAATCAACAGTAGATCAACCAAAGGTAATTGCAAATTGGACCTAATTGAGGAGCTAGGGGGAATCATACCTAAGTGAGTTCCCATTAGTAGAGTAGTTAGTAGAGTAGTTTAGTAAATCAATCTTTAATCTAGTTTGCTAGATAATGAACTGAAGCTGAGTAATAGTAAATCTAGAGACCCGTGGATTCGATATTTATTACTTGAGCCACTATACTGCAGTCCCTTTCATTGGTTACACTTGGCCATTGTTAGGTGTTGTGTCGTAGCGAGTCAAGTTTTTAGCGCCGTTGTCGGGGACTTTCTAGAGTATTAGGAAAGGCAGAAGTTTGTTACTTTAGCGTTTTTCTTTTCTTTTCTTTTCCACCCTTGCTTTTCACTTGGGTGTTTTTGTTGGTGCAGATCTGAATCATGGATCCTCATGGCTTCTCCAACAATTGGGAGTATCCTCCACCACCCGAGTGGTATTACCCCGAGACTCCCTAGAGAAATCAAGGAGGAGAAGACTATGGATTAGGGTTCCAGTACCAACCCCCTTACTACGGAGAACAATCAGACCCCTGGGCTTATCAAGAACAACCTCATTACCGAGAAGAATTTCTCCCACAACCAGAAGGGCCATCGGAGCTGGAGTTACCCATGGCGGCCTTCACGGGCCATTCTGCAGAGCCATGCTACACTCCACAGCCAGATCCAAACTATCACTTGAGGCTTCTCGTGGAGCAGATTGCTCGAGTACTTGAGAGATCCTTTCCCGAGATGGATCCTCATATCCAGGCCATGGCCCAAACTGACTTCTCCTTTCCCGTGAAACAGAGGATATCCTTCGGAGCATAAAGAAGCACATAGAGGTCATTGAGAAAGCTTGTGCACAGTTTTCTCAAGAAAACCTTTATGCTGCCATACAAGTAGCGGAGGAGGAAGAAGAAGGCAATCATGAGGATGTTCAGGAGCATGCAGAAGTTGTCACGGAAAGCTCCCATGATAATCATGATCAAGTGTATCCTCTGGTGGTAGATCACAACTGTCCCCATTTCCGCTCTGATATGTTGGGCCCGAGCGAGGAGATGCAAGATGATTTCATTGAAGAAATTACATGGCGACTTGCTCTCCAATCTGTGCTAGAAGAAGAAGAGCAAGAAAGGGTGCATAAAGAAGTTGTGGAGGATGACGAAAGTGAAGCAGAATGAGTTCTTGATCATTTCCCAGGGGTGATACCACATGAAGAAGAAAGGGAGGTTGAAGAAGCAATTGGCGTCCAGGCTGAGGACGGAGTTAAGGTGGAAGAGGCCTGCACCGGCCAAGAGTTACATGAGATATCTCCACCAAACTTCGAGGAACTACTTAGCAAGGACCCATTTGCAGTGTCTCTTTGCCAGACCAAGGCCACGTCGACATCGGTCCCTCTTGGTGGACGCGATGGTGGTCAATCGATGCTGTCATATCTGGTTTGGGCAATGAGACGAGAGAAGAGAAGAAGAGGTCTCGAGGGTGGAGACGTCATCTGCATCAAGTGCACGAGCTTCCATCACCTGTCATACCACATGCTCGTGACTTGAGACTCCACCTCATCGACGAGAACCTCAACTTCAAGGAGGTTCTAGCATGGACCGAAACTTAGGAGCCATCGTCCAGCTCACGACGTGAAAGAAGCGCTTGTTGGGAGGCAACCCAACCATTCAGTTTGCATTTCTTTCCCTATTTCTCTTCGGTAGAGTCAGTTTTGTTCTTTGATTTTAGAGTCAATAACTCAACCTTTGTGAGATTTTGTGTGGTGTTTGTGTTCTGATTACTCTCTCCTCCTGGAATACACTGCCTGCCCCATCCACCATCATTCACCCTTGATCTGGTAACTTTGTTCTACCTTCCTTATCTTTTCTCCATTGAGGACAATGTCGTGCTTAAGTGTGGGGGGATGTTCGATTATGTATGCGGGTGAATGTTGGCTGTTTGTGTGCTTGGAGCCTAGTCCACTGTCCAAATTTTTAAATTTGAGGGATCCAAGTACGTGTTTCCTTGCAAATTGCCTGCTCAATATGCTTTGAATTGACAGTCTCTATAGTAATGTGCAACCTAGGGAGGTAGTGTAGCACTATGGAGGATGTTGAAGTATAAGACTTTTCCTATCTAGCTCTCTGCTGTGCCAATTGATTTTGTGAACTAGTGGATTTAGGACCGTTGATTCATGTGGTATTGATGACTCTTCTTATGCTGTGTTGTGGACTCATGTATCGAAAAAGGGTGCTAAAGTGTGAAATGAAAAAAAGCAGTTGGTCCTCCATGTCAAAAATGTGAAATTCTAAGACATGGGGTAAGCCCAACGTGTGTGGCACCGTTCATTGCACAAAATCGGGTTTTGGAAGAGATTTTAGTGATCCTTGGTGGGGTAGGCCTACAAGGTGAAGCTAAGTTGTCTCTAGTACAAGTAAAATTTCCACCCGTTGAACGGTTTGCCTACTTGAGGATGTGTTTTTAAGGGCACGGATAAAGCTTCCGACCCCCCTTAATTTCATTGACCCTCCACACGAGTTGAGGAAAAGGAGTTAAAAGAAGTACTCTGGCGAGCGCCAGATGTACAGAAATTGCTCTTGCTTGACTAATAAGGGTCGACCGTGCAAAAGACTGCAGTTGGAACCCCGACCAAGTGAATAAAAAGAAAAAAAAAGATTAAAATGAAAGTGAAAAAGGGGTTCCAACAGTGAAATGAAGTGAAAGAGCACCCCGGTACAACGAGTCCTTGGTTGTGAATGGTGAGAGTCTCCTTATCCATGAATTGACTGTCTTAGTTCCACTGCTTCTCATGATCTTGGCTTGAGTCTAGTACTCGCATTGAGAGAGATAGGAGGCGTCTTAGAAGACCAGTTGACCTCGTAAGTTGCTAGATGATCTAGAAAATCCTTTGCCGACGATCGGGGTTGCATGTTGCTATAGAGGTCTGGAGAGTTACATTGGTTTGAGTCAGGTTTGCTTGGGGACAAGTAAACGGTTAAGTGTGGTGGGGTTTGATAGACCGTTAATTGCACATGTTTTTAGCCCTATTCTTGAGCCGTTTGAGATGTTGATTCTCGTGTTTTAGGCCGATTTCACGCTAGGTTGTGCTTGTTTGTGAAATTTCAGGTCCTAGTACGTGAATGAAGGTTTGGGAACGAGTTCGGGGTCGATTGGACGAAGTTTGGGTGTTTGGCGAGAAGCTGAGAAGCCACACGGGCATGCCTAAAAGCATCACGACCGTGTAGGAATAAAAGAAAAAAAAAAGAGTAAAATGAAAGTGAAAAAGGGGTTCCAACGGTGAAGTGAAGTGAAAGAGCACCCCGGTACAACGAGTCCTTGGTTGTGAATGGTGAGAGTCTCCTTATCCATGAATTGACTGTCTTAGTTCCACTGCTTCTCATGATCCTGGCTTGAGTCTAGTACTCGCATTGAGAGAGATAGGAGGCGTCTTAGAAGACCAGTTGACCTCGAAAGTTTCTAAATGATCTACAAAATCCTCTGCCGACGATCGGGGTTGCATGTTGCTATAGAGGTCTGGAGAGTTGCATTGGTTTGAGTCAGGTTTGCTTGGGGACAAGCAAACGGTTAAGTGTGGGGGAGATTGATAGACCGTTAATTGCACATGTTTTTACCCCCTATTCTTGAGCCGTTTGAGATGTTGATTCTCGTGTTTAGGCCGATTTCACGCTAGGTTGTGCTTGTTTGTGAAATTTCTGGTCCTAGTACGTGAATGAAGGTTTGGGAACGAGTTCGGGGTCGATTGGACGAAGTTTGAGCGTTTGGCGAGAAGCTGAGAAGCCACACGGGCATGCCTAAAAGCCACACGGCCGTGTAGGGGACCCCTTGTGGCCGTGTGGAAATTCCAGGGAACTCACACGGGCACCCTGGAAAGCCACACAGCTAGGGATGGCAAAAATATCCGTAACCGTGGATATCTGCCCGAATCCGGCCTAATCGGGTAGGGTAGAACCCGAACCCGAAGGACATTTAGTGGGTATGGGTAGGGCTGTTAACGGTGCGGTTTCGGTTTTAACCGAACCGCAACTGCGGTTAACCGCAGCCGATAATCATCCAAAAACCTCAACCACCACAGACACCGATTGACTTGTCGATTAGCCGAAAACCGCCGTCGACGGTTTCGGGTCGGTGTCGCGGTTAGCTGAAGACCGACGCAGGGGGGATTTGAAGGGACGGCGGCCAATTCAGCTTCAGGGATTTCAACCTTTGAAATCATTCCGCTGCCAAACCCTTCTTCCGCTGCCGAATCCGCCGCGACGAGGGTCTTCTGGGATTCAAGCAAAGCAGGGGACGACGACGGCAACCGAGGAAGAAGGCATGGCGGGGACCGGAGAGAACTTGCAAGGCGCAAAAGGGGACATCGACAACGACCGAGGCTCGATCTTCACCGCAGCAACGACCTTCTTCTCCTTCTTGACCTTCAATTGCTGAATCTGGATGGATGGGGGTGGCGATTGAGGCAGAGCGGTAGATGACAGCGAGCGGCAAGTTCGGAGAGAGAGGTTTGCAGGCCAAATCCTTCCTCGTCTCTACTCCCTCTGTCCGTCGTCCACTCATCACCCCAACTCAAACCCCCCAACTCCGCTCTTTCAATTGGAATTTGCTCGGCAAAGATTCAAAACTCAAAATGGGAGGAGGAGTGCAAATCGACAACAGAGAAGGAGGGAGTGTTCGGAGAGAAGGGGCGGTGAAGTCGGACGGGGGAAATTGGGGATGCGGAGGGCGGTGGTGGTGGCCTGGTGGGAGATGAGGTCTGCTGGAGGCTGGAGATGGAAAGGGAGAGAGTGCCGATGCGGGGTGAGGAGAAGGAGATGGGAGGTTTTTCGGTTGCAGCAGTGCACCGAGTTTGATCTCGGTTAGAAACCGGAAACCGCCGGTTAGCATAAAGCCCCGAATCAGCCCACCGACGCCGACACCGACGCAAAGTTATCGGTTTTCGGTTAGGTTGGTAACCGTGATTTTCGGTTCGGTTTTCGGTTTAACCGATTAACCGCCAACCGATTATCAGCCCTAGGTATGGGTAAAATCCGAACCCGAATATTGCGGGCAATGGGTGGGCTTGGGTTTCTCACTATCCAACCCGATTCCGCCCAATTATACACATGCATATGTATTCTGTCTAGAAATAATAATTTTTTCTCTAACATATTTTATATTTAGCATATAAATATAAAATTTTCATGAAATTGTGTTGTTTTAATTAATTTTCTTCATTCTAGTGAATTATTTTCGTACTTTTCTTCTTACGTAATGTGAGAATACGTGTGAATGTTAACATGTTGGTTATAGTTATGAAGAAAAATCATTACCCATGGATAACCGCGGACACCCGAAACCCGAACTGGTATGGGCATGGTTTTAATTTTCTACCCGTTTCACATGTGGGTATGGGTATGGGTAAAACCCGAACTACTTTGGGTAGGATAATGGATATGCACTATCCGTCCCCGACCCGACCCATTGCCATCCCTACACACGGCCGTGTGGGTCGTGGCCGTGTGGGATGGCTGAAGTCACTTAATCGAAACTCTGCGTTTTGCACACTCACACGGGCAACCTGGGAAAGCCACACGGCCGCGTGGCCAGGCCGTGTGAGTCCGGAATTTCTGGTTTTAAGCCAATTTCGAGCCAAATGAGAGGGAGAGCTGGGTTTTTGGATCCCAAACACCCAAGGGACGAGCTCTAGAGAGAGAGCGACTTGGGAACATTCTTAGAGCTATTTTGGAGGATTTCTTCGCCATTGGAGCTCGAGAATCAAGCTTGGAGATGGAGATTGAAGATCAAGATGAGATTCTGCAGTCTCTCTCTTCTCTATGGAGTAACTTCCCTTCACTTAGGTTTTGAGAAACCCTAGTTCCATGTGTTAGGATCTTTCTTGTATGAAGTTTTGGATGCTATATTGTTTGATTATAATCGATTGAGGCATGATTTATAGAGTCAATTGAAGCCTGATCATCTTCTCTTGATTTCTGCTTTAACCTATGATAGATAGAATCTGATTAGGTTAAGAGAGCTTCCTTGATTGATAGCGGTGAATTGGTTGTGTGAGAGTCAATCAATTCACTGCTTTGTACTGGAATTCATTCAAGTAGTGTAGATCTGTGTGAATCGCCTTAGCAGTCTATCCTGGTGAAGGCTAGTCGCCTGCCGGGTATTCTGTCTAAGAGGGCTTGGTCAGCTTAAGAGATTCCAAGCTAATTTAGGATCTTTCGCAGTTTAATCAACAGTAGATCAACCAAAGGTAATTGCAAATTGGACCTAATTGAGGAGCTAGGGGGAATCATACTTAAGTGAGTTCCCAACTTGTAATTAGTAGAGTAGTTAGTAGAGTAGTTTAGTAAATCAATCCTTAATCTAGTTTGCTAGATAATGAACTAAAGCTGAGTAATAGTAACTCTAGAGACCCGTGCATTCGATATTTATTACTTGAGCCACTATACTGCAGTCCCTTTCATTGGTTACACTTGGCCATTGTTAGGTGTTGTGTCGTAGGAGTCAGTGTCCATATGCGCCATTATATGTGCTACCTTGTTCGCATTTCTTCTGGCATGATGGACGATGCCCGCCTCTTCTTCCTGAAGCAACTTCCTGATATTCGACACAATAGTGCCCAGCTCGGTGTAGTTCACACGATCTTCCCTGATACAATTGACTACTGTCAAGCAGTCTGATTCCACCATCGGCTTTCCGAGCTGATGTCGTCGAACGAGCTGCAGTATGAGTTCCATGGCCAAAGCTTCACCCATCTGAAGGTCATACTTCACACACACTTGTTTTGATGCTGCCATAATAAATCTACCATCACGGTCTCTAATAACCACTCCCAAACCAGTGCTCCCTTCTCTGAAGCCAGCATCTGTATTTACCTTGATCATTCCTCCCGGTGGCCTCTGCCAAGTATCTACAACTCCTGAGGAAGGAACATGTTGGTCGTGGAGTTGATAATGTCGGTATTCATCGAGGTATGTCATTGCTCTTGGCACTATATCACTTTCTTCCAACTTCATGTCATTGAAAAGATGGACATTACGTTCTTTCCATAATGACCATAATAGCACACTCCATTCTTCCATCATCTCCTTTGGCATAGCAGCAATCACCTTCGCCACCCACTCCTTACATCCTCCATCTCCTCGCAATTCAAAACACTGCACCACCTGGGAAGTACGCCACAGTCTCGAAGCCCAAGCACACTCACTAAAGAGGTGGACTTGTGTTTCCTGTAGATTACAAAACAGGCATGCATCCCCTCTTCGAGAACTACGAATACTCACCCAATCCCCCTGTAGCCAGAGATTCCCTAGTGAATCTCCAGAGAAATACTCAAACTTTAGGAGGAATATTAAAAGACCAAATGCCTTTCCACAAGGATGATTCACTCGTCGCCTGGTCACCATTAGCCTCTCGATCATCTTTCAGTCATTTTCGGTACCCATCTCTTGCTGTATAATTTCCGTCTCTACTATCCGCCCATATCAACCTGTCCGGAACTGAAGATTCTCGTAACGGGATTTGACGAATGGCCATCGCCATCGTTGTTGAGAAACAACTTTCAAGAAGCGTCCTATCCCATTGGTTTAACTCTTCGTCAACCAGATCTCTAATAGGCGCGTCAACAGGCAAACCCATCGGTGGCCTATCCAACCCGATATCCCACCCCTGCTACTATTAGTTGTTTTGCAGGATGTGTTTCTTTTCCTTTTCAATATTGGGGAGGCCGCAAAAGAAATTCAGAAGGAGAGGAGTCTTACTCTCCCCTCTTAGTTTAAATCTCTGGCCACTGCCCATTTGGCATTTTCCCACGATCCAATCAAGAGTCCCCCTCTCTTGGTTTACATCGATCACCCCTATAGCAATGGAGGTTTTCTGCCGCACCAGACCAAGTCCTTCTTCCCCAAACCCTCTCTTTATTTACTCCCCGCCTCCTCCCTTCAAACCTTCATCATCATCCTCTAAATCAAACCTTCTATGCTCATCCATCCATGACGATCGACGTAGACCTCTCCTCCGTCGCCGATCTCGAAGCAACATGCTCCGATCTCCGGAAGCTCCTCCACACATCGTCCAAGATGGAGGACATCCTCCGGAAGATGGACAACCGGTTCGAAGTCATGGACGAGAACCTCGCCACTGCCGCCAGGCGGATTGCTCCGCTCCAATCCCTAGCCATGGCGTCCAAGGCTCTCGACACCAGGATCAACCGAGCCGTCTCCCCTGCTTTCTCGCTCCTTGAAGGCTTCAAGCGCTCGGAAACGCTCCAGCGGCAGTTGATTGACCTGTCGGCGAAGTTGGAGTCCGAGAGGAAGCCGAAGAAGCGGCTGAGGCTGCTGCTCAAATTCGTCGACTACGTCGACGGGCTGAATTCGACGATCAATTCGATTAGCCAGGACGGCGAGCCGGCGATTCAGAAGCTGCAGGAAGTTGTGGAGTTTCTGAGCAGGACGAAGGCGACCGATCATTTCCGAGCTCATCGATTGAGGGAAACTCTCGTCACGCTCAAGGCGCTGTACGAGACGGAAGTCGACGCCATGAAATTCGAAGGGTTCTTGGATCAGGCCCTCCTGAATTTGCAGGATGAGTATGAGACGATTCTCCAGCAGCTTCGGCACCAGAATTTGGGGGATTTGCGAGGGGAGGAAGATGAGCCGGAATCCAATCCGTCTACTGACCTTGGCACCGATCTCGAGCTCGAAATCCTGCAGCGGATTTCCGAGATCCTCTGCTCTAACGATTGCTTGGATATCTGCATCGATATCTTCGTCAAGGTACGAATCGAAATGCTCAGAAGAAATTTAGTTTTGGGCAATTCTTTCTAGAGATTTCGACCTAATCTTGCTAGCTATAATCTACAGGTGAGGTACAGAAGGGCAGCGAAAGCATTGATGCGGCTGAATCCGGATTACCTGAGGACTTACACGCCGGAAGAGATCGATGATATCGAGTGGGAAACATTGGAGAATGCGATAAGCCTATGGATTCGGCACTTCGAGCTTGCTCTAAGAACCGTTTTCATATCGGAGAAGAAGCTCTGCAATCGGGTTCTGGGAGGGATTCTGGACGGAGCTGTTTGGCTTGAATGCTTCATCAAGATCGCCGACAAAATCATGGCGGTTTTTTTCCGGTTCGGGGAAGGCGTGGCGAGGAGTAGCAAAGAGCCGCAGAAGCTGTTCAAGCTTCTGGACATGTTCGATTCCCTGGAGAGCCTGAAATCGGAATTCACCGCCATTTTCGAAGGGGAAGCTGGACTGGACATCTGTATAAGATACAGGGAGCTGGAGAAGCTTCTGGTTCACTCGTCGAGCAAAGTTTTCTGGGAGTTTGGACTTCAGATCGAAGGAAACTCCGACGGATTCCCTCCGCCTCAAGACGGATCTGTGTCGAAGCTCGTGAGGTATGCAATCAACTACCTCAAGTACCTAGCAACGGAAGCCTACAGCGTCCCCATGGCCAAGGTTCTTCGAACGGAGCAGATCTGGAAAGCCGGGATTCTGTCCAAACCAGAATCCGACGAGAATTTGCTCCAGGAAGCCATTACCAACATCCTCGAAGCTCTTCAACGCAACATCGAATCGAAGCGGTCGAGGTACAAGGACAAAGTTCTTCCTCACATTTTCGCGATGAACACCTACTGGTACATTTACATGAGGACTCGAAATACGGAGCTGGGGAAGTTGCTCGGGGAGCAGTACATGAAGCAGAAGTACAAATTCGTCGCCGAGGAATCCGCGTATCTGTATCAGAAGCAGGCGTGGGGCCCGCTGGTGAGGCTTCTGGAGGCGGACGATGTGAAGAGGCAGGGGAATTTGCAGGATTCGGCGATGGGCGCCGCCGTGAGGGCGAAAGTGGAAGGGTTTCTCAAGGCACTGGAGGAGACGGCGGAGCGGCACAGGGCGTCGTACACCATTCCCGACGTCGTTTTGAGGGAGCAGATTCGGGAAGCGACGGTGAAGGTTGTCGTTCCGGCTTACTCGGATTTTCTGAGCAATTATACCCGGGTTACGCAGGGGAAGAATTTTCCGAGCTCGGAGTCGGTTCAGGCGATGGTGTGTCGTGTTTTTAACAACGGGGAGCAGTACCCGGCGGCCGGAGAAGGGAAGTTGAGGCCGCGGAGTTCGAAAGGCCGGTCGACGAATGCCGGCGGTGGGGGGAGCGAGGCAGGATCCGCTGACTTTGAGCGTAAGGATTTTCGACGGTCGAGATCGATTAGATCGTCTGCCAGCGATCAGTTGGACGGCTGATGTGAGTGGTTCTCGTGTGGGGTCTTTCTTCCTGCCCCTGGACCCCACCGTATTACGCACGATTCTCTGATCTTCTATTTTCCCACTCTTTTTTTATAGTTTTTTGTCAATACATGGGTTGGTGCCGTTTTGTGATTTTGTCATTTGGCGCCATCTCATGCTTTTTGTCATGCCTCGGTGGAGTCGTGTGAAATTTCCAGGTTGTAACTTGTGATTACTTACAAATAGTTTCTATCCCTCGCTGTGTTTTTAATGTTTGTAGAAATAAAAGAAAGTAGCAGACTCCTTGGTCCATAAGTACTTTAACGCAAAAAAATATAGAATTAGGTCAATCATCCAAGATTGCACTTGAGAAAGACAATTCGATTCAGTTAGCAAACTCTATTTTATTATGAAGCTTGTTTAAGCCTTGGTGCCTCGTCACCAAACACACGCCCTCAATGCTTGGCGCCTGCCTACACACACGAACACAGAGGAGGTGCCCGGGTCTGTTAGTTCTCCGACGATCAAGTCAGTTTCTTCCTAGAGAGAGAAGTGCTTGGAGAATGAGTTTTAGTGAGAGAGTCCAACCTGTGTAAATGTTACCAACTGCCCCTATTTATACTCAACCAACTCGAGGTGGATCTCCCTCCATGTCATCGTCGCATTTAATGTTTTGTACTCACATTCCTGTCAGAAGCCTCAACCACTTGCCAGTCTGGACTTCTTTTGGCCTTTAGCGCTTTATCTTCATGCCTCTTCCTCCTGGTATGGAGTGGGCTTCGCGGGTCCATTGCGGACTTCTTCTGCTGGATAATTGCCTAAGGCCACTCTTTACTGAATGGGCCCTTTCTTGGGCCTTTCTTTGAGCCCCTCTAGTGGTACCCCCAACAAAGCTTATGTTTGCGGTTTCTCTTTTTAAAGAAGCATTAGTTTTGAGCCCGCTTGATGGGGTGTATTCTTCTTGTTTTTCTGTCGGGCTATTACAAGTTTGTGTATATATTTATTATAATTATTTATTATTAGGTTCATATGATATGAGGGTACCATATTTAGTGTGTGTTTGATGAGGATCAACAATAATGTCAAACAATGAGAGTCACAACTCCATAATTAGTAGCAAGTTCATATTCAAGACCATATATTCGATTGGTCAACAGTTTTCCACTTCAAAAATTGTACATTGTCAATCATTGATTTTCACTTTTGCGCATATATATTGTCATCAATGCATGTATAATATTATACATGTATATAAGAAAATTGGTGTATTGTAGCTTACATCGTTTAGTTTTTGTGATAGTTATTGAAATATTTAAATAAGTTATATTACTTATTGGGTGAAATGTCACTTTTATCCTTTACTTTTAATATTAAAAAGCAACACACATAAAAAGGTGGGGGACATAGTTGGAACAAAAGAAAACCCAACCATCTCTACCAAACAATCTCAAGCAAAACTTGAGATTTAACTATCACTCATTTTGAGTGATAGTTTGTGTCAAATCAAACAAACAATGCATGTATTGTTTGTGCACAAAATTTAAGGGGTCGTTTGGTTTTGGTGATTGTTTGGTTGATATAGTTACAACGCATGTATTGCCCACAACACGTATTTTTTTTTAATTTTCTGCACAAACAATACATGCATTGTTTGCTTGATTTGACAAAAACTATATTATGGTTGTTTGGAAGTTGTGATTCTTCAAATTGATGTATTTGGGACAATTAGTGTATTATCGTTTGATGGATTGAATCAATTGATGTATTAGGTAAATATCTTGTTTGGAGGTTTAGATTGTGTTTTTGTTCCAAAGGTAAAAAAGTTAGTATTGAGTGATTGTGAAGAATCTCAACAAAAAGTAGAGATTGTAAATCCCTCAATATTGAGTGATTGTGGTGGGGCCTCCAAAAAGTAAATACATGTATTCTAGTTCTATATAAACCAAAAAATGACTTAATCTCACAAATACATGAATTAGATCAATACACCATTTGAAATCACAACTTCCAAACGGCCCATATCACTCAAAATAAGTGATAGTTAAATCTCAAGTTTTTGGTGAGATTGTTGAGATTGTTTGGTTGAGATTGTTGTGTTTTCTCTCTCTCCCAACTATGTCCCTACCTTTTTATGTGTGTTGCTTTTTATATTAAAAACAAAGGGTAAAATGGACATTTCACCCAAAAAGTAATATAACTTATTTAAATAACACAATAACTATCACAAAAATCAACGGGTTGGATCAGGTCCTTAAGGCCATTTTTTTAAGGAAAATCTTAAACCCCTTTCAGCCAATAGGAGAAGGAGAGAGAGAGAGTGATTAGTAATGATTGGTTAACTACCTACCTAATACGTTAAAGGGTAAGATAGGAATATAAAAAGTAATTAAATGCCATCATTAATTAAGGAACGAGAGGGAAAACAGACCAAGAGACGTTATTTTTGGTAAGTTTTTACTAAAACAGACGCATCTTTGGATGCCTATATGTTTAATAAAACATACCAGAGTTGTTAACAATTTATGTTAATAACTTGGTGTGCGATTAATAATAATGCCTTCTTTAACTGTTAATAAATGTTGTTTTTTAATTAATAATCAACTTTGCATGTAATCAGGTCATTACTATTGTTAAACATATTATCAATATATTCATAACCGAGTATTAATAAAACAGAATAGTGTTGTTAACATTTTAAGTTAATTACTTGGTGTGGGATTAATAATAATGCCTTCTTTAACTGTTAATAAATGTTGTTTTTTAATTAATAATCAACTTTGCATGTAATCAGGTCATTACTATTGTTAAACATATTATCAATATATTCATAAACGAGTATTAATAAAACATAATAGTGTTGTTAACATTTTAAGTTAATAACTTGGTGTGGGATTAATAATAATCCCTTCGTAAGCTGTTAATATTTGTGGTGTTTTAATTAATAATCAACGTTGCATGTAATCAGGTCATTACTATTGTTAAACATATTATCAATATCTTCTTAAACGAGTATTAACCGATAATACCAATTTATTAATAATACTTGTTAACTGATAATACCAATTTATTAATAATCGAAGTGTTTAACTTAATAATCCACTTTGAACGTAAAAATGTTCGTTGTTTTAAATTATTAATTAAAAAGGACATGGTTAATAGTAAAGTTTGCATGAATAATTTCATTGTCAATTTAGGTTAATAATCCAAGAAGGGAAGATTAGTAATGAAGTGCCTTGTAATTGTTTATTTAATAATCGGAGAATGAATATTAATAATGAAGTGGGTATGCCAAGAGCCAACGCCCATTCCTTTGTATTGCGCTGGTCGAAGATGTCAAGATCAACAATATTGGGACCCTTGGGCAAGCCATACACGCGTTCGACGTCATCCTCAGTAAGATACAAACGTACCCCTCCAGGCATATGGAAAGACATAGACTGACCTACAAAATGTTACAAGGACAGGTGCTCACAATTAATAATGAAACAAATTTTATGGATAATGACTAAGGATAAAGTTGAAAACACAACAGTCTATAAATTCTATTAAAGATGCTAGTTGTGCGTTCACTCACCATCAAAATTAACATTTACCAAGCGCAAATAATCCTGGTCAATACTACGCATCTGCAAGTTAAGAACGAAGCCGAACCCATAACTTCGAAGTATAGCCGCACGACTTGGGCTAATATTCTTAACGATTTTGCGGACCTGAGACGCACTGCACCTGATTGGTAAGCGATTGTCATCGGCTATGGGTGCATCTGCCTTTTTCTTCATAGGTTTACTCAACGGTGCAGACTTACGCGAAGTATTCTTCGTACGTGCCATATTATGTTGTGGACCACTGTAAAAAATTATAAAGAAAGTCCACGAAATGATTAATAACCCATTTTTTTAATAACGATCAATACAAAAGAAAATGTTAATAATGAACATGAGGTAGTAGTGTTGATAACGACCAATACTAAAAAAACATAACACGACAAGAATTGATTATGGTGTTCACAAAATTATCACGTTGGCAAAGAACATTAAAAAAAATGACCAATGCAATTAAATAATTTACATAACAGCACATATTCATTAATAATAAAAAGCAAAAGGTTGAGAGCGAGAACATATTGATTAACAATGTTGACCAAAACAGCTTGTAAACGCCCACCGAATGATTAATAATAGATATAAGAAAGGTTCATAACGAGCAGAAATTGATTAACAATGGACACAACAAAATTAAAAATATTTCCCAAATTCGAAATGAATTTGACGTGCACAGATTGGTTAACAATGAACACACAACACATTGACTTGCATGACAAATTGATTAATAATATAGAACGAAAAAGTTGAAAATGAGCACGTATTAATTAATAATATAGACACAACACGTTTTCCATATGTCCACAGAATGATTACTAATAGATTTTTTAATAACGATCAATACAAAAGAAAATGTTAATAACGAACATGAGGTAGTAGTGTTGATAACGACCAATACTAAAAAAACAGAACACGACAAGAATTGATTATGGTGTTCACAAAATTATCACGTTGGCAAAAAACATTACTAAAAATAATTACCAATGCAATTAAATAATTTACATAACAGCACAGATTAATTAATAATAAAAAGCAAAAGGTTGAGAGCGAGAACATATTGATTAACAATGTTGACCAAAACAGCTTGTAAACGCCCACCGAATGATTAATAATAGATATAAAAAAGGTTCATAACGAGCAGAAATTGATTAACAATGGACACAAAAAAAATTAAAAATATTTCCCAAATTCGAAATGAATTTGACGTGCACAGATTGATTAACAATGAACACACAACACATTGACTTGCATGACAAATTGATTAATAATATAGAACAAAAAAGTTGAAAACAAGCACGTTCACAATTTTGCATATCCTGCGTCTCTATGTCGCAGATGTTAATATATTTATATTTACCAGATCAAATTAGACAGAAGAAGGAGCCCAGAAAACGAGAAGAACAAGAAGATAAAGGGAACCATAATTTAGGATGGTTCTCTCATACGTAGTTGCCTAGCTTTGCGTATATTTCATTCATTCATGCAACCATAGAGGCATTCTTTCTTTGCTTTCTTCTGTACAACCCCTACTCCTCCCATACAACGATGTGCAAAAACCCTAATCCCATGCAACATGCAACGCCAAAAACCCTCAAAAAAGCGGCCAAAAAAATCGGACCCAAAAAATACCTTAACACGCGGCCGCCGACGAGAGACTGATAGTTGAAACGAGAGAGTCTGAGAAATCGAACAGTCGGCAGTAGAACTCGACCGGACGAGAGAAGTTATGGGTTCGGCAGGAGAACTCGACCGCACGAACTCGAACAATACGGACTCGCCGTTGACGGAGAAGCAGGGACAACGTGAACTCGACGGGCTCGTGCTTCAGAGACTATGCGACGGACTCGCCGTTGACGGAGAAGCAGGGACGACGGGGACTCGACGGGCTCGTGCTTCAGGGACTATGCGACGGACTCGCCGTTGACGGAGAAGCAGGGACGACGGGAACTCGACGGGATCGTGCTTCAGGGACTATGCGACGGACTCGCCGTTGACGGAGAAGCAGGGACGACGGGAAAATTTGGAACAGACCCGCTTAGGGTTTTTGAAAATAATAAACCGTCGCTTAGCTTAGGGTTTTTGAAAATAATAGACATGTTTTAATTTAATTGTATTCTCCTTAATACCCCTAACAACTTTTTAACTAATAACTCCTACTAACTATCTTATCTTGAATTAGCCAATCACAAGGCTTTAAGTTCTTCCTTAAAAAAGAAGCCTTAAGGACCAGAACTTAGGCCCAAAAATCAAACGATGTAAATTATAATACACCAATTTTCGTATATACATGTATATTATTATGCATGCATTGATGACAATGCATCTATTTAACTATCACCAAAACCAAATGAACCCTAAAAAAATGATGCATTGTGGACAATGTTTGTATTGTAACTATCCCAAACAAACTATCACCAAAACCAAACAATAAATATGTTGGTTAAGTCTGGTGTTCGTCCAAAAAGTTTCTTTGACCATGAAACAATCACTTCAAGTAGAGAATTCTATATATAAGCGAATTGGAGTCTATTTTCAACTTATTTGTTCGTTTGACAAATGTATGACGGAGAAAAATTTAGGATTTGGACCTTTTGGAGGTAGTAGACGACCCAATCAATGATAGGTTTGTCCCTCGTATTGAAAATAAGTATAAGTCATGCTCATCATTCAAATGATACCATTATAGATCGTTATGACTCCTTAAAATGCACAACTTCAATATCTAATGCTTATAAAACCTTAAGAAGTTGAGATGATATCGATCTTGAAACCAATAGAACTAAAGCGAGAGATACCATTATATATCATTATACGCATAAAAATGTCTTGCAACTTCACTATCTGATGTTAATAAGACCTGAGGGAGTTGAGGGGGATATCGAATGACATATAGTTTGAATTTTCCTCATTTTTTAAAAAGTGAGATTTTAGAGTAGTAGAGACGTAGAGTTCTTTTTCTAGATGTACTTTACTTTTTTGACATCACAGTAACACAACATTGACATATCTTTGACGGAGGTTCAAGAGTGAAACATTCACATGTTTTGTAATTAAACACGATTTAGATGAATGAAAGAGAAAGACAATTGGTTTTACTGAGCATCTAGTCAAAGTATAGTTGTAGTCTTACACTGCAAACCCTATACACTTATGGTTCTGCATTACCTTTATTATTTTATAAAATATATCAAAACAAAATTTTAGATAGAGACACACTTGTCCTTGCTTCATATTAGCATCCATTAATTAAATAACGCATGCCCAAAAATTGGACAATGATAGTAGTTGTAATGCTCCTCTTTGTAGCTCGTAATCTATGGCTCCGCCCCCTTGCATTTTTACTCTCTTTATAGAGCGCCCCCTTAAGGGCCTCTATTTCCCGAGAGGAGATTTTATGAGCGCAAAGAAGGGGAGCCGATCCTCCTGGATTTGGGCGAGTCTGTGGGAGGCAAAAAAAGTGCTGAATTTAGGAGCAATTAAGGTCATTGGCTCAGGAGAGGAGACCTGGGTGAACAAGGATCTTTGGATTCCAAAGCTTAAAAACTTCATCATCCGCAGCGGACCCCAACAACAAATGAAGGTCAAGGACTGGATTAATCCAGAGAATAGAAGTTGGGACTCAAACACTATTCAGGGGCATGTGTCCCAGGAAGAATTGGATGCGATTCTGAGAATCCCGATCAGGGAGGAAGGAGCCGATGATTTCTGGGCGTGGAGTCTGGCAAAAGAAGGAAAGTTCACGGTTAAGACGGCTTACCACGCTTTTCACAAAGAAAATACAAACCTCCAACCGATGGGAAGCGCTGACAAATGGAAATGGATGTGGGCACTGAACCTCCCACCCAAGCTCAAATTCTTCATCTGGAGGTGTGCAAAAAATGGGTTGGCAACGAAAGCAAGGTTGTTCCACAGGAGATGTGCCCCTAACCCGAGTTGTCAAGTTTACAGCAACCCATATGAATCCCTCTTGCACTGTCTGTTCTACTGCCCGCATGCAAGTGAAGCATGGAGATCTATCTTCCCTTCTCTGCCTCTCCCGCCCCAAGATGCCACTTTCTTGGATTGGATCTGGGACATCAAGGACGCTATTTCACATGAAGCCTTGATCCATATCGTGTTCCTTTGCTGGAATATCTGGAAGGCTAGGAATGAGTGCACTTTCAAGAATAAAACTCCTTGGCCACCGAATGTTTGTTTACATGCCTTTAGAGAGCGCAATGAATGGAGTTCTTGCCCGAGGCCCCCTTCTTCTAACGATGCCTCTACTACTCAGCTCAGGGGAGCCCATACCTCTACGAATCCCCCGCCAAGTAATCACCCTTTGATGATTCACTGTGATGGGTCGTTCATTAGCGACTCCCAGCCGGCGGCATATGGTGTTGTGGTTTCTAACCACCATGGACAAGTGAGTGATGGACGAGCTGAGACCCTACTTTGTTCCACCCCGATTGAAGCGGAAGCGAAGGCCCTCTTGGAAGGTATTAAATTAGCACAAGAATATGGATCGGAATGCACGGTGTTTTCTGACTGCCAGGATCTGGTGAAAGCTTTGGAGAAAGATCATTCGGGATGGCCATGGCGGTGTGCGGCATGGATTGGCTCGATGGTCAACATCCTTAGGATTAACCCGTTCAGTAAAGTCAATCAGGTCCCGAGAGCGTTGAATGTTAAAGCCGATTGGGTTGCACGCTCTAAAGCTAGATCTACTCTTCCCGTTGACTGGATTGGTATTCTTGATCTAATTTCTGATCTTCTCTAAGAATGTAACCAGAGTTTTCTCGCTTGTCTTTTCGATGGTGGAATAAAAGTTGGAATTACTGTCAAAAAAAAAATATAGAGCACCTGAGTCATCTTATCTCTGAGTCGCTCAGGACTAGCCAATGGCAGTCGATAAAGCTGACAAGCCAGGGTCCCGCTCTCTCACATATCTTTTTTTGTAGATGACCTCATCCTATTTGGAGGAGCCTCGATGGAGCAAGTTAATGCTATGAGCCACTGCTTTGAGACGTTTGGCGCGGCCTCCAGGCAGTAAATCAGCAAGTCGAAGTCAAGGTTCTTCTTCTCATGGAATGTTTCCCAACAACAGCAAACATCCTTGGTGGAAACTCTGGGGATATCTCAAACATAAACCTGGGGTAATATTTCATCGTCTCAATCATCCATGATATAATATCCAAAGCTACTTATACTAACTTGATAGATCTTATGATGCCCACCTTGCAAGTTGGAAAGGCCCACAATGTCCATTGTGGCTCGAGTCACCCTAGCTTAATCCGTCTTATCATCCCTGATGTCCAGTTATCAATATCACCACTTTCTCCATTTCCATAGGTAGAGGCGAGCATAGCAGAGGGAGGCAGAGCAAGGCGGGAGGAGTAGACGGAGGGAGCAAAGAGCAGACGCGCGGAAGGAGCGACCAAAGATCGTCATAAACCAACTGGTCCGAATGACTCGAATTGTGGGGAGAGGTCCATGAATGATACATAACCACCTCCTTACACGCTCCCTCCAACAAAATCTAACTCAAGGACTTGAAGTTTGCACATGTCCGTTATACCATGTGCTTTAAAGACAATGATTAACATTGAGGGTCATGAGGACTTGAACACTTGTTGACCTCAAGTTCAAACCAGCTCTGGTACCATGCCAAAAATCAACTGGTCCTAATAAGCGAGTTGTTGGGAGAGGTCAATGTACGATACTTAACCACTTTCTTACAAATGAGGTCTTAATGCTTCGCACCCACTCACTCCCGTTGAGAATGAATTCAAAATTAATAAGAAGTAATAAAGAAATTTAAACAGATCGGGGCAGGAGAAATTGAAATCAAAGGAAAATAAAGGGAAGAAATTTGGAAAGGAAGGGAACCCCAATAATGACCAGACTGTTGCTAGTGTTGATATCCCAAGTCAGTGAGTGTCAGGGGAAGTGAGAAGCGAGGTTGGAGTACCAACAGAGGCACGACTGGAGAGAGTAGACAATAGAGGCAAGTTGGGGGGACTCTCGTCGAAGAGAGAAAGGGAATGACTATGTTGTTTGGTTAGTGCTTTGAATATAAAATTAAAGTGAATAATAAATTTATTTGTGTTAACTCTGATAAAGCATCACACACTGGACTTTCAACCCGATGTGTCCTCTTTATGCTTGTAATGTTGATATATCCTGCAATCCCGGTTCAATCATGTACTGGTTACCATTCCGACGAGAAAAGGTCAGTTATTAGTTTTGGTAAAATTTGAGATATATCAATCAAATATGGAAAAATTGACCAGTCAAACTAGAAACTAAATTTAAGCACTTTCACACATGTCCTCCAAAAATAAACACCAATAATGAAATTTGTACTAATTACCTCATGTTCACTAGTCTCATTTGTACACTAATAGGCTACAAGGAACTTAATAATACATATTAACCTAAAAATTATTGTAAACATTAATAAAATTCATATTATACACTCTTAATTTTACATATCTAATTGCTCACTATTAGTTAATAATTCCTAACTACAAATTATTTTATGTGAATTTAACTCTTTTAATTGCTTCTTCCTAACTAATTTATTTAGTGTTGATGATTTTCCATTTTCTCATGCATTCTACTAAAATCGGTACAAACCAATAGGACCGAATATGGTGACAACACCATATTTATTGATATGATGACAACAATATAGGGCAACCAATAAGAAGCCACTTTTCTGCATACTATTTAGTTTTATGGGTTGACTGAATTTCGGTAGGCTAAAAATCAAGGTTGTCAAACCGGTTTATGCCGGTGTGCCGGTTTTGTAAGTGAAATGGTCTGACCGTGGTACAACCAGTATTCATGCCGGTTGTGCCGGTTTTAATAAAACACATGAGGAAAATGGAAATCCTCAATTCCAAATAAATTAATCATGAAAAAACAATTAGAAGAATTATTTCACACAAAATAATTTATAGCCAAGAATTGATAACTAATACTAAACAATTAAATGCTTAAAAACAAAATTTTATTAATGTTTATAATGATTTGTGTAAAATTTAGTATTAGATATATAACATATAAGGTTAATATAGACAACAAAATTGCTTGTAGTCTACTGGTGTGTTAGTTAAACTTAAATGAACATGAGGTACTTGGTTCGAATCCTATGGAGGATGTTTATTTTTGGATATAATGTGTGTACCACTAAATTCCGGTTTCTGGTCTAACCGGCCGGAATTTCCGGATTTGACCAGGTTTGACCGGTATTGACCGGATTTGACCACAGTTAAATACCGGCCCCTTTCCAGTAGGTTTGCTGACGGTACCGGTTGAACCAGCCGGCATGAAACCGGTTTGACAACCATGCTAAAAATTAAAGGAAGGGCATAATCGTCACTACACCATTTTTCTCCCCATGCCGTCCGCATGTATTGAGCGTACACTTTTTTAGAGCAGGCACGTGACCTGCACTTATCATGCCAATGCCCATTTAAGCCACCATTGTTTTATTATTATTACTAATAATTATTAGTCTAATGCTAGAAAAGCGCTAGCTTTTTGGTGAAAAAGAAACAAACAAGAGTTTTGTTCTATTTGGAAGAATAGTTTCAATAAAAAGAAAGAATAAATAAATTTGGAAATTAATAAATAGGATCCTCTTGTGAAATAAATGTGATCCGGTTTATAAATTTACAAATTAATCTTTATCCTTGTTACTTAGTTGGAATACAAACTTTTTTTTTTTGAAAATAAGTTTCTCATATATGACAGTAATGTTACGACACACATGGAAATACAGTGAATTGTTATATAATGCTCGTTGTTCTCGGGACTCTAGTCAACGATCATTAGTCTTCGGATTTTGTAGTATGCATTATAGATTTATAGTGTACTTTCTCATGTTTATTGTGCATTTTGTATGGTTTGCTTTCTCGTGTTTCTTATATGCTTTTTGTGGTTTGGTTTCTCATGTTTTTTGTATGCCTTTTGTGGTATACTTTATCGTGTTTGTGGTTTGCATTAAGAAGTTTTTGGTGTGTTTTCAAAAAATTTGTGGTTTGCTTTGTGAGGTTTTTGGTTTGTTTTAATATATTTTTGGTCTGCATTAGGACGTTTCTCGTTTGCTTTTTGTGGTTTTTTTTTACAGTGTTTGTGGTTTGTATTATAAGATTTCTGGTGTGCATTTAAAATATTTATGGTATGTTTTGTGGGATTTCTGGTATATTTTAGGGGATTTGTGGTCTGCATTAGGATGTTTCTGGTTTGTTTTTTGTGGTTTGTTTTATCATGTTTGTGGTCTGGATCAGAAGATTCATGGTGTGTTTATGAAATATTTGTGGTTTGCTTTGTGAGATTTTAGATATGTTTTAGACGATTTGTGGTATGCATTAGGGAGTTTTTGGTATATTTTTTGTGGTTTGTTTTACAATGTTTGCGGTCTAGATTAGAAAGTTTCTGGTGGTGCTTACGCAACAACCTCTGTCGCTTCATAGAATGACCCGAAATCCCAATACTTGGTTGAAGATGAAGAAGGGTCATGGGCGTGGAAAAATCACCACCATCATCTTGTTGTTGCTTTAAACCATTCTAAACTGCATGCAAACCCAGAATTTCAGCAGACGTTTTCGCACATTGATGAACTGATGTGTTTACTAATGACAGAGACATGCAGACGGAAAGACACATGGCAAAGCTAAATAATAAACCAAGGTCACCAGTCCCTTTGATTCGTTCACGCCAACATTCGTCTTCCTCTACTCTACTCCCCTTCTTCTCACTCACTTCACCACTCCCAGCAGCTTCCGACTTCGCATCCGAAGTTGTCGCTCTCCTCCAATGGGCTTCCACCTTGCACGACCTCTGCCAATCCAATATTTTAATCTGGCTGGTCAACGCCAACCACGCTGTCGCCACTCCCTTTCGCTTCGTCGGTGTCTCTTGCGATGCCGCAGGGAGCGTGCTTCGATTAAACCTAACCAACTCCGGTCTAAATGCTTCGATTACATCCTTCATGATGATTTCTGGTTTTTGCAGCCGATGGCGTCGAGCAGAGGCCAGTAATGGCGGGCAGAGAAAAACGAGATCTGGTGGGGGAAAGGAGCGGAGTGGAGGAGAGGCGGAAGGCGGATTGGTTTTGGACGAGAGAGAGTCAATTGGTGCCAGCGATGGCAGAGGATTGGCAATGGCACAGTTTTTGGGAGTTGCTAAAGGTCCCCCTTAAAATTGTTAAAGGTCGCCCTAAAAAGTCTCAAAGTTACACTTTTAACCCCCTTAGCTTATTTACCTTCCCTTTAGCAAACAAACACCACTTGGACTAAAAAAACACTATCTAAGGAGAGAAAAATCCATCATCGTCATTTTGAAGCCGATATTGTCGGTAGGACGTCTGAATCATGAGTAGCGACTCCGACGAGGTAAAAACATTAACTGGAAAAATAAAAAAACACAGAAAATGGGAACCGCGGGTCACTTGCAGTTCGACCATGGTCCAACCGCAAGTCTTAGCTTCTTTACCTTCCCTTTAGCAAACAAACACCACTTGGATTAAAAAAACACTATCTAAGGAGAGAAAAATCCATCATCGTCATTTTGAAGCCGATATCATCGGTAGGACGTCTGAATCATGAGTAGCGACTCCGACGAGGTAAAAACATTAACTGGAAAAATAAAAAAACACAGAAAATGGGAACCGCGGGTCACTTGCGGTTCGACCATGGTCCAACCGCAAGTCACCTGCGGTTGGACCATGGCTGAACCGCAAGTGACCTGCGGTTGGACCATGGCTGAACCGCAACTAAGCTGCGGTTGAGCATTTTATGGGCTTTTTTTTTCAAATCAGTATTTTCTATTTTGTATATAATTTATGGTTTGTTCCATGAGATAATTTGTTGGGTTTTGATTTATATAATTTTCTAGATTTATTTGCATAATTATTTTTGGAATTGAAGGATTTAGCATTAGAAATTAAGATTAGATTTGGCCTTAAATTAAGATTAGATTTAATTTGGTCTTAATCTAGAAAATTAAGATTAGATTTTGCATTACAAATTAAGATTAAATTTATTGCACAAATAATAGATTCGCATATGAAGTTATGATGATTATTAAATTTAATATAGCTATGAAATTTTAAATTTATCATATGGAACTCGTTAAATTGACGATATAGAATGTTAAGTTTTTTTTAAAATTTGTGGGGTATCACTTATAAATTCTTATAACATTGCAGATTATTGGAAGTTACAATCCGGATGGCCATGATTACACCTCGGATTTCATTGATGGCGTGAAATACACTACGGAGTTGCAAGCATATGAAGCAGCTACTGAGATTGCCAAGGGTTTTGGGTTTTATTTGGTGAGGGCAACAAACAAAAAAGAAATAAGAATGAAGCTACTTGGCGACATTACTTACATTGCACTCATGGTAGGAAGAAGAAGTCGAAGGAACCTGATCCGAGTAAGGAAAGGAGGCCTCTTACATCTACTGAAAAGTTGGGGTGCGAGTTTAAGATCAAGCTTGAGCGGTCCGGTGATGGATATTGGTTGATCCTAGGGGTGGCAAATACAAAGAATCCTGGTGCTAATTTGGGTTTCCACAATCATCAGTTGGAGCTATTTCCGGAGGGATCAAAGGGAAGGAATGTTTTGACTACAGAGGATAAGCAATACATCAGAGAGCTGAGATCAGCCGGTGTCCCACCAAGGAATAAGGCAGTGAATGAGAGAAAAGGTGCAAATGGAACACACAACAGAAAGAAGATTTATAACGAGTTGCAAAAGATAAGGAAAGAAGAGCTTGGTCAGATGACTGCCTTACAATATACTTTCCGCGTGGCTCAGGAGAAGGGTTCCTATGTGCAGTATATGGATGATCATAACGTGCTTACACACTTGTTCCTAGCCCACCCCGAGTCAATAGTGATGTTGCGAGCTTGGCACTATGTGATCGTGATAGATGCAACATACAAGACCAATAAGTATGATATGCCTTGGGTTGAGATTGTCGGCATGACACCAGTAGGATTGAACTTTGTCATTGCATCTGCAATAGTGTACAACGAGACGAAGGAGTCGTACCAGTGGCTTCTGGCGCATTTGCAACATCTTCTTGGCCCCATTGTTCCAGATGTGTTTGTCAGTGACAAAGCAGGAGGATTGGTTGAGACCGTGGGGGTAATGTTTTCATCATCGACTCATATATTATGTATTTGGCATATATATAGGAATGTGAGAGCAAAGTGTCTAGCGAAGGTGCGAAGGACGACTCATTGTGGTATAGATGCAGCCAAACGGACAGTGGATCATATCATGGCGTCTTGGCAACGTGCTGTATATGCATTGACAGTGGAAGACATGGATACTGCCTTAGACAATTTCAGACGTAGTTGGGGAGTACAATACCGACGACTTTGGGGGTATTTGGCAGCTGAGTGGTTACCAGTTAGACACATGTGGGCTAAATGTTATACCAATCAAGTGCAGCATTTGGGTAACAAAAGCTCTAATAGGGTTGAAGCTGCCCATTCCTCCTTCAAGAAGTGGCTTCAATCATCTACTAGCGCAGTCGACACGGTTAGTCTCCTAATAAATCTTCATTGATACACACATAAGTTTTAGTAGTCTCCTAATTGTTCTTCATTGTCTGTAGGTATTCAAGAAGAACGATGATTACATTGAGGCTCAACACCTTCAAATCAGGAAGCTTCTAGAGGATTCCCGACAAAAGAAGCTACTCCGAGCGGATGGAAAACCATTTCAAGAGTTGAATACGAAAGTCACTCTAGAAGTTCTGAGGTTGATGTTGTTCGAGGTAGCAGTGGAAGGGGAACCTTGTACATGTAAGTTTCCTCCTACCTATGGTCTCCCATGTAGATGTTACATTAAGTTAGCATGACATGAAAATCGGGATTTCGCCTTGTATGAGGTGTTGCCATTCTGTACCGTTATCAACTATCGTGAACCTCCTACTCGGCCGGAGTGGGATGACCATAGTGATTACCACCGTGGTGTGTTCCAAGGTCTAGTACAGGAGGTTCTTAAAGAGACGACGAGACCATTCGAGGTGCAATCGGTCTACTCCGGAGCCATCTTCATCCTGGAAACGATGGCATTGATGAACCGCATGGGGGACAGCCCCGCCCCGGTTGCCCAAGGACGTCTACCACTCGAAACCTATCTCACTTCGAGCATGTGGAGAGGAGACGAGGGAGGAAAAGTTCAAGACTTCCGACTGCAACTCTGGACAATGATGGAAATACAGGTAGATTAACTTTTTCTATTAGTTGTGTTCAATTGTCCTCAATATGGTGTACAACTAATCTATTTTTTTAAATGAGATAGGTGGTGCCCCGAATGTGAATGCACAAACCAACTTCGAGAATGGGACGGAGCCGATCCATAATGATACAGGTTAGAAATTATATTCCTAATTTCGGGTAAACATATAGTATAACTCTTTGTATTAATTCATTCTGTTATGTTCTTCATCTAGATGGTGCCCCGAATGGGAATGCACAAACCAACTTCGAGAATGGGACGGAGCCGGTGATCCATAATGATACAGGTTAGAAATTATATTCCTAATTTCAGGTAAACATATTGTATAACTCTTTGTATTAATTTATTGTGTTATGCTCTTTGGCTAGATGGTGCCCCATGGAGGGTTGCTCGGATTCCCAATACTAGTTGGATGAATTACCCATGGCTACATTGTTTGGAATCCTACGTGCAACGACTAGTTCGTGGTTAGCACAACCCTATTCCAGATGGACACTGTAGATTTCGAGCTATATCACAAGCAGTTACTGGGGACCAAAGGAATTGGCCACAAATGATAGTTTGAACTTACAGGGATGACGATTGGAAGTATATTTACGAATTGTATAACTCTCTATTATTGAAACATTTAGTAATCTACCATGTTGATTAACTATTTTAGCAATGCATTGAATGTAACTAAAGTAAAAAAACACAATCGTCTCAATTCAACTACAAACGATGACAAATAAAAAACACAATAGTCTCAGTTCAACTACAAACGATGACAAATAAAAAACACAATCTTCTACTGAGGCGGCTGCCCTACCAACTGGTCATACAAGTCGTGAACCCCAGCTATCATATCGTAGAACTTACCACCGTCCTCCTCAAACTTACTCCGGTCCCTCGTCAGCAACACGAGACCTAAACGATCCACAATCTGCTCTCTCAACTGTAAATAGAAAACAATGTTAGAATAAATAACAAATGTCCTTTATATTTGGAAAAGCAAAAGAAAGTCATAACTTACCTGATGAACTAGTAGTGGTTGAGGCTGAGGCACCCCATCAGAGTTGGGGTGGGTGATCCGTGGGTGCGATCTAGTCAGAACCCAGTCAACGTACTCCTCCACGATCTCCGATGGGTGCTCACATGGCCTAGAAACAAAATTCAAATCTAGACGATGGGTTGCCACGTTATCCCACAACTGATTCACAAACGGATCCCAAAAGACTGTGTAACTGATGCCAGAAGCCGGACGGTACTGGTCATGTGGTACCATCATAGCATGGGGGATAATCTGTCGGTATCCAAACTGGCGCAGACAACGTGCAGGATTGTATCCCTCAGCAATGTCAGAAAAGCGAATGATCCCAGTAAACAAGAAGCAAGGTAAATCTGTGTGGTCAACTCGTCCGTACGGAGTCCAGGTCACATCATCAGCTGAAAGCTAATCCAACAACTATCGATAACGTGCTAACCTCTGTCTAGCATCATCCCCACCTGGCAAACGGGGAGAAATCCACGAGGAAGCACTAGGTGCATCCGGAGATTGCGACAGCTGGCTCGGAGGGATAGAGGAACGTAATCATATATCCAAGCCTGAAGCAGGGTCAAACAACCACAAAGACCCTTACTACCCGCTCGTGTGGCTACTCCCAACTGTCTGTAGAGATAGGCTAGTGCACCAGCTCCCCAAGCATAATCAGTCAATCGTCGATGATCCTTCAGAAACAAGTTGATTGCAGGACGAAGGCGATCACGACTCTTATCCACAAAAAGCGTGGATCCCAGTAACACAAATAGGTAACACTGCACCTCCATCTCCTTAATCTTCATCTCTCCCCCACGCACCAACAATCCCTCTGCATGCATAGCACCATTATCGTACCACTTAGACTTCCACTTACCACCAACATGAGCATCCACCGAAAGTCGAACTAGACCACCCATGTCTGACTTAAGAATATCCGGCGACGCCTCATCTCCCATAAGCTCTCCATCAACCGGAATACGAAGAATGCGATGCACATAGTGTATAAGGATTGAAATCTCTCCAAATGGCATGTGGAAGGTGTTTGTTTCCGGATGCCACCTCTCCACAAATGCCGACAGTAGAGCCATGTCTAAATGCTGCATCATGCACCCTGTCAAGTGAGACTATCCTGTGGCTTCAACCATCTCGTTGGAACCCTCTGCACTCCACTTATATCTCCTCAAAGTCTCTATAGCTTTCGGCCTATGGAAGCCGTCCAACACTCCACGGTCCTGCTCAGGAGAAGTCCACAGTACAAAGCCAATGTGACCTCCAAAACTAGGGATCACATCGGGAATCACTGGTCCACCTGAACACATCTGAGACTCGGATGTAAGAACCCACGACATATCTTTCCTCGTGGTCTTCATCTTCCTATTTCCTTCTCTGCCTTCCTTGCTACTAGGTCTGGACGCATAGCGTCCATCAGGCCCACGGAAGTGTGAGGAGGCAGTAGAAGATATCCCGACCCGCGCCGTCTTGCCCACGCCTAAATCAGCTTGAGGTGGGGCATCCTCAACCTCAGCATCACCAGCAGCATCACCAGCATCTGGGGCATTCCCAACCTCAGCATCACCGTCATCATCATCATCCTCGTTAATGGAATCACTCCAATTAGCCTGCCATACCGGTGCGCTCTCTGGTGTAGGAGTACTGGTAGTACCTCGACTAAGAGACAACTGCCCCACAGTAGGGTGGTCGTCAGAACGCACTACATCCGCCTTCTTCTTCTTCCTTCTAACCTTAGGTGGATTTTTTTCTTCATTTTCCTTCCAACCAGTCGCCGTAAGTCTACACCGACGACCTTCCATTCTCTCCTTATTTCTCGCCTTAATCATATCCGGTTTACCCATTCCATGTCCAGACATCTTCAAAAAAAGTTTGAATTATTAATAATGGATTATTAATAATGGAGTACATAAAGTAATTGATTTAAGATTTTCATAATTAAAATTATAAAACTAATAGTTTGAACATTTATATCACGTTATGTAATAATTATTTACATAAAAGTAAATATGATGCAAAATACAAAGGTAAACTGATTTCAACATTAGTAAGTTGATCTCCTAAGGTCTGAATCCAATCTATTCACCCCCCTAATGCTCATGTTAATTTTTCTTATTATGGAACAACAGTTCTGTGACGATAAGTTCATAATATTTGTGGGTTTTGTTGAGGGATCTTGGTTTGAAGAACCACTCATTGAGGAAATGTTTGGCAGTAACATTTGGATATTGATGGTAGAAACCATCTTCGACAACGAAAATGGGTTGAAAAGTGTTTTTCTTAAAATACTTTTGAAATCGATTTTGAGGGGCTTGGACAACCACCACCTCTTGGGTTTTAGGAAAAGCCGTTTTGAGAGGGGCTATCGAAGATGCCACCTCTGTTGCGGTAGGTGCGACATCAAGATGATGTTGCTGATAGATTTGTTTGGTTTCTTCGGAAGAGTGGGTGTGGGTAGGATGCCACTTGGCGTTTGAGTATTTGAAAGAATTAGTTTTAGAAGGGGACATTGTTGAGGAAGTTGAAGCTTCAGTGGGAAGCTTTTGTTTAGAACCAGAAACGACAATAAATTTTTGAAGGTAATTTTGGGCTTCAAGAGGAAGCTTATCAATATTGATTAAAGCTTTGGATGAACTTGAGTGTGAACCAGTATCATTAGAACTTCCTTCATACTCACTTGAATGATCAGGGCTTCCTTTTTCATCATCAAATATCTCTCTCCATGTTTTAATTTTTATTTTCTCTTTATCTCGCAATCTAGTGGTAGGGGGCATTATGACTGGAGATTGCAAGCCTGAGAGTTTTCTGCACTTCGTCCTCCCTGCAGAGAGTTTGAAGAACCATTTATAAATTGTATGTCGAAATAAAAAATGCTAATGATGGCTTGCCATAGTGAAAATATTTGTTTAGAAGCAAGGTTTTGAACATCTTTTTCCAAAATGTATTTTGCTGATTGGCAATCAATGCGTAGTAAAAATTTTTGATTGAGCAAATCATGCTGAAATTTTGAGATGCATAAAATAATAGCAAGCAGTTCTTTTTGAAAGTGGAGTAATTGATTTGGGCAGGGTTCCAATGCTTAGAAGTAAAGCGTACCAACAACTCCTTATCATTTTGAATATGCTTAAGGATTCCTCCATATCCTAGGTCAGAGGCATCGGTTTCGACGATTTTAGGGAGAGAAGAATCACTTATGTGAAGGCACGGGAGACTCTGAACCTGCCTCTTAATTTGCTGAACTATTTTGGTATGCTGGTCACTCCAGGGAGGGGCACTCTTTTTCAATCTATCATGGAGAGGTTTACAGAGAAGATTGATGTTGGGATAAAAGTCAAGGACATAGTTTAAACTACCCAGGAACCGTTGTAATTGATTTTTTGTCTAAAATTTGATCAGGAAATTTATCTGCAAATTGAAGAGATTTTCGATTGGAACAATTGTTCCTTGAATAATGTAGTGACCCAAAAAACGTATCTTAGTTTGAAAAAGACAAAATTTTGGTTTAGAAACAGCTAGACCGTTACGTCACGTACTAGGACAAAAGGAGTTTTGAATTCAACATTTTAATGACAAATTAAAGCATTAGAAAGTTTATATTGTATTTGAAGAGGTTGAGAGTTAGCGGTAGATAGACGCTCAAGGGTCTTTTCATAGTACTTAGTTGAAATTAATCCTTCTTGGATGCAGTTCATGTCTGCTCCTGTATCAAGAAGGGCCACTGTGCTTAAAGTAAAATCAGAAGAAACCTGAATATTAATGATAACATACCATTATTTGGTAGTAATGGTAGATAAAAAACATAGAAAATCGTCATCAGTTAGCATTTCCTCTGTTTCTAAACTATTGGTTGCGTGAGGAATTTCATCAAAAAAGTTTTCGGGGCTAGATGTTGATGGCTCTTCTAAAGGTTTGAGAGCTATTAAAGTTTGTAATATTTCATGATCACTATTTTGTAACTGTCGTAATTGTTGAATTTCTTTCTTAACAATATCCAATTCCTTTTGGAAGTCAGGAAGAGAAGAATTGTGGGAATCATTATTACTATGTCGAGAAAGAATATCTTTGACACTATACGTCGAACCTTGATGAAAGGGATTGGTAGGTGGAATAGTCACAGGATGTTTCTCCATGTGCTCATGAAGCTTTTTGAAATATTTTTCTTTGAGATGAGGATTATCAATATTATTGATTAGATCTAAAATAAGCTCTTTATCTTTGGTTAAAACATTGATAGAAGATTCAGAACTTTCATCGATGTCATCAAATTGTAAAGCCTGAAGATTCTCATCATCATCAGAAGAAGAATCCTCATGAGAAGAGTAGTGTTGGAGAAAAAGATTATTGATTTTGTCATGAATCTCTTCATCAAGATTAAGCTCATTAAGCTTCTTTTTTATACGACAATATTTGGAAATATGACCTGTTTTTCCACAACGGAAACAAGTAATGTTTTTATTTTCATTGTTAGATCGTGGTCCCTTATCTGGGCGGGGATTCCTAGAGAAATGTGATTTTTGATTCGTGGTTTTAAAAGATCGGTAGGGACGATCACGATGTTTTTTATGAGGTTTGGTGCTACAATCCTCACAGTTAGATTTTGACTCACTTCTACTGTCACTCCAGGAATTGGCCAAGTGAAACCACTTCCTAAAGCGTAGTATAGCGGGTTTGGGTTTAAATGTCAACCCGGGTCCTAGATTTGATGACTACTCAGTGAATTCTCGTTATCTAGCAATGAAACTTTAATGCAAGTCTAAACTAACAAACAAGCAAAGCAACTAAACGGTTGTATTCAGGTTAAGAGAGGTCACCCGGATATGGTTCCCCCTAGACTGCAGTTAAGCCGGATTGCAATTACCAAGTTCAGTTTCTATGATAGTTATACTGCGGAAGGTTCTTAAACAGCCTGAAGTCTCGACTAAAGGTCTTCAGACCCTCTCAATCTGAGTCTCTAGCGGGCGACTAACCTCCACCGGAGTAAACAGATTGAGGCCCTAACAACAAAACCTCCACTACCGAAGTGAATTCGGTACAAAATAGTGAGTTGGCTCCTCGACTAAAGTCACCAACACCCTACCTTCAATCAAGGATGCTCTATCAACCTAGGCAGATATTCTCATTCTAGGTTAAAGCAGAAACAACAGGAATTTGATCAGGATTCAAGTCATTCAATCATTCAAACCTCAATCGAATATAATCAAATCATAGAATCAGTACTTGGGTTCATACAATCAAACCTAACATACAAATCTAGGGTTCTCCATACCCAGATGAATGGGAGAACTACTCCATGGAGAAAGAAGCAAAAGCAGAATCAGACGCGGAATTCATACTGTGAAGGATGGATTCCTGCTCCTGGACGTTGATCGGCACTTCTCCAAGCTCAAGCTAGCCTCCAATGGTGATGAAGATCAAGCTAGGGCACTTGGAGACTCTTGTTCGTCGCTTTCTCGCTCTAGGAATCGCTCTGTCTCTCTCAAAACTTGAATATCCTTCTGTTTTGGCTGAAATCTGCTTAAAAGGGCATCACTGGGCAAAGCACGGTCGAGGGCACGGCCGTGCTTTGCTCCAGCCCGCCCGTGCTTTGGCAAGGTTTAATTACACGGCCAGACTGCTGGGAGAAACACGGCCGTGCTTTTGGGTGGACACGGCCGTGCTTTGGTGGACACGGCCGTGTAATTTCTCAGCCATGCCCGTGTTTTGGCTAGTGTTTGCCAAACTCAAATCAGCTCTCGGCAGTAAAAGCACGGCCTAGGAACACGGCCGTGTTCTGATTTAGGTGTGCCCATATTTTGGCTCCAGCTCGACGAAATGACTTCCGAATGCCCCGAAACTCGTGCTTAGCCTTTCCTTTGACGCCTGGGACCTGAAATATGACAAAATAGCACAACCCGGCGTAAAATAGGCCAAAAATACACGACTATGCCCCTCAAACGGATAAGAACTAGGGGTGCAAATACGTGCAATTACATCGTTATCAGATTTGGATGAAATTTTTGAGTAAGATTCATCAAACTGAGCACAAAAAGATCCTAGTTCTTTTCGAGTTAGTTTTTGTTCGCGTTTGATGTGTTTTTGAAGTTTTAAATCATGGCAAATTTGTAATCCTTCCTTTTGTATAAAGCTAATAAGTTCTCCGTAAGTAAGTTGCTCATAAGGAATTTGACCATTAAAAGTGTCTTGGATTTTGTTTCGGATTTTATCTCCTAAGAGACGGGGTAAACCGGCTAAAAACTTTTCTTTCCAAAATGGTTGATTTCCATCTTCTCTTTGCATAACCCTAGTTAAAAAGGTATCTTTGTACCATCGGAAGTCATGAAACTTTTTACAACGAAGATTAGAAAGTAGTTCGGCATTTTTATCTTTAAGATGTGAAGGATCTCCAATATAATGTTTTGAAATGGCAAAAATCAGAGATGCGACTGCATCTTGAGAAGATTGATTGTTGGAGTATAAAATAGGAGTTCCAGAAGAACCACATGTGACAGCTGTAAAAATAGTTCTCTGGTCTTCTGCGGTTAAGATATTATCCCACCAACCCTTTAATTGACCAGCAAAGCCGGCTATAAGTAGTTCAGCTATAGCGTAATCAGAAGTTTGATTTTGTGTTTTGTAAGCATTAGCTGCCGTGGTCATTTGTTGAAGAAGGTTCAAAATTTGATATTCTGAAAATCCATCAAGATTTCATTCATAAATAGAATTGGAGTTGTATTTATTCTGGATAATGGTGGGTTTCTCTTCAAGAGCTAAATCAGGTGTTGTGGGACGTGGGTAATACATCTTAGATGCAGAGGGTTGGTTCCATCGGAGACGATTGATTTCTCTTTCAATATGACCTTCTAGGTCTTGAATAACTGTAACATCCCATTCCGGCAAAATCCATATTTCGATCGTTAGAAAGTTCGCGATTTAAAATCGAGCATTTCGACACTATTTAGACGAAAATCGGATTATCGATCGATCGGATAAGTATACGTATTAATTATATATATAATATATATATAATTATTATAAAAAAAAAACCAAAAGCGGCGCCCCACATATATATATATTTCCCCTTCTTTCCCCCCGTACCATTAATTCCATTCTTCTTCCTGTTCCATTAAATTGGACCGAGAGAAGCAGAGCAAGCGAAGTTCAGGGGCACGTCGGGGGGAAAATTCCCCAGCTCGATTCTTAAGCTACAGTGATCCAAAAATCCCGTAAGTAATGCCTAATTCATCTATACATCATGATTTATCGATTTAGAGCTTTAAAACGAGTTTTTGGTTCAGGAATTTCTTGAATTCCCGATAAGCCAAATTAGGGTTTTGGAGTATCCGGAAGCCGGATTGAGCCCAAATTTCATATACGAGCTTCCTGCAGCGAGGTAATCAATCCTCTAGTTCTAATCCCTGAATTTCGGCTATTATTTAGGCCGGGGTCCAAACCGCTGAATTTAGCTCCGGCCAGGGTTTGATGTATTTTTATCAAGAATTTGACCCGGAGCCTAGAACTAATATCGACGGGGATACTGCAGGGGATATTAGGACGGTCTCGGATTTTAATTCGGGGTTCGTTCGTGAAATTGACGTTTTAGTACGGGAGGCTAGAACCGGTGTTTGAGCGACCAGAACTGGTGAGGGATTAGCACGGCATACCGGGTTTGTCGTATCACGATAATTATATTGATTCTTAGAATTGATCTAGGTGAACTAGAATGGCATGATTAGGGGTGTATGAGCTTTTGTGCTATATGTTGAACCCTGGATTGCTGTATGATATTATTGACTTGCCCTAATCGATATGAACCTTGTTTATGCTGATGATTGTGTATATGTTGCAAATTGTGGGCTTGACTGTTAATATGCTTTACGATGGTTCGAGAAGGTGATTAGGTATGATTTTTCATGATTGTTGTATTTGGATGCACAAGTGGCAAAATATATATTCCCTGGTGATATTATGATGTTTAAGGAGGATGACTTGCACGAGGGTTTATCCCGAGGAAGTGCAATTATACGACTCCTAATTTACCTATGTTGAGCCAATTATGGCCAGGTCAAGTACATGTGCAAGTAACGAATTATGATTAAGCAAGATGATATATGAATCATGTATAAGGATACCAAATATGAGTGTTGTGGTCTCACGGTCAATTACGTAGTAATTAGGGCTCCCTATGCTATTACTCTATTATGATATGTATGATAGTCACAGGTGTCGGGGTATGACCACACCCAGAGCGGTGTCGGGGTATGACTACACCCATAGTGGTGTGGGGTATGTATGACCACATCCGACGGGATGTTGGCGTATGTATGACTACATCCGACGGGATGTGGGGTATGTTTCCCGGGAGAGTTATTAGCATGGGAGTAGCCAGGCGCCTATGAGTAAAACATGATAAGATGCATATGCATAAGTCAAGGTGGTTGAGTCTTTTGCCTATTGGGATATGAGGATGGCTGAGGTCCGATCCTAGTGTTTTGGCTTGATTGTTAGATGTATGGTAGGGGTATGCTCTGTTATGAACTCACGATGCTATGATTATCTCACTCAGCTATGAGCTGACCCTCTTTTATTCTTCTTCTCTGCTTATGCTATGTGTAAGCAGATCATCAGCAACAGCAGTAGATAGGTGTATAGGTGGGAGCTGAGCTAGAGTTGAAGCCAGGATGAGGTATGGTCTTCAACCATTCTGTGCTTGGACTACTACTCGGGATTTTGGCCAGTGATCCACACCTTTTTGTAAAAATGTTTTGAGAACGTTTTTCATATGCATACTAGCTTCTGATGTAGTGTGAGATATCCACAGGTGTGGAAAGTTAATGATATGTGTATATTTATGTGGTTGTGTAAGTTGTGACGATTATGGTATGTATAAGTTTGGTATGCAGTTGTGTAGTATGAAACTGTGACTATGGCTATGTAAGTCCATGTATATGGTTTGAGTATATATGTTTGTGATGAATTATTTTGCAGGACAAGTTGCAAGAACTGTTAGCCCATTACGCGAGTAATTCATGTCGAAATTTTATTTGGGTAAATTTTGATAATTAATGTAGCACCCGAGATTAATTCCGCTGCAATTGTGTGAACAATATGATTAGGCAAAACGTATAGGGTAGGGTGTTACAATAACTTTGGCTGAGTCATCGACGATTTGATCCTCGTTGCTCGTGGATTTTGAGTCAGAAATATAAGGAGTCTTAGAAATGGATAGTTGTGTAGAAAGTTGTTTAAGACGTTTTTCTATTTCAAGCTTAAATTCAAGACTAGATTCTTTAGAAACTTCAAAAGGTTTGAAAATGGGGGAATTAAGTTTGTTGGAAGGAGGAATAGGAGTATTAGAAGTAGACGCAAAAGACAGAGGTAAACTGATTTCAACATTAGTAAGTTGATCTCCTAAGGTCTGAAGAAATCGGTTTGTATAATTGTTTTGTTCAATCAGACGTCGAATATCTTCTCCTTTGACATGGTCACTATTTTCTCGTTTAATTTAAAAGGAGAGGCTTGAACTGCTGTTCCATAATAAGAAAAATTAACAGGAGCATCATGTACTAGGACAAAAGGAGTTTTGAATTTAACATTTTGATGACAAATTAAAGCATTAGAAAGTTTATATTGTATTTGAAGAGGTTGAGAGTTAGCGATAGATAGACGCTCGAGGGTCTTTTCATAGTACTTAGTTGGAATTAATCCTTCTTGGATGCAGTTCATGTGTGCTCCTGTATCAAGAAGGGCCACTGTGCTTAAAGTAAAATCAGAAGAAACCTGAATATTAATGATAACATACCATTGTTTAATGGAATCTTGATGGAGGATTAAGATTATCATTAATATTCAGGTTTCTTCTGATTTTACTTTAAGCACAGTGGCCCTTCTTGATACAGGAGCAGACATGAACTTCATCCAAGAAGGATTAATTCCAACTAAGTACTATGAAAAGACCCTCGAGCGTCTATCTACCGCTAACTCTCAACCTCTTCAAATTCAATATAAACTTTCTAATGATTTAATTTGTCATCAAAATGTTGAATTCAAAACTCCTTTTGTTCTAGTACGTGACATGCAACAAAAGGTGATCTTAGGGACACCTTTTCTAAATCTTCTAAAACCTTTTACCGTCACCGACCAAGGAATTAACACCGTTGTGTTAGGAAACAAGGTTGAATTCTCATTTCTCCAAAAACCAAAAGTTCGAAACCTAAATGTTTGACGACGTTCTTCTATAAAATATATACACCATATAATTCGTTGTAAAACTAATCAAATATCTTATTTGCATGATGAGATACATTTTCAGCGAATCTTACAACAGCTTTCTCAACCTCTTTTGCTAAAACGAATAAACTCTTTAAAAGAGCACATTGAAAGCTCTATTTGTGCTAATACACCCAATGCTTTTTTGGCATAAAAAACAACATCAGGTTGATCTTCCTTACGAAAAAGATTTCACAGAAAATCTCATTCCCACCAAGGCTAGGCCTATCCAAATGAATTCAGACCTTGAAAAACATTATCGACAAGAAATTAAAGAATTGTCCAAAAAGGGCCTTATCAGATCTACCCCATCCCCTTGGAGTTGTTCTGCTTTCTATGTCATTAATAATGCAGAAAAGGAACGTGGCGTTCCTCGTCTTGTTATAAACTACAAACCGTTGAATAAGGCTCTGAAGTGGATTAGGTATCCTATCCCCAACCAAAAGGATCAACTCCAGAAACTTTCACAGTCCCTAATATTTTCTAAATTAGACATGAAATCCGGATTTTGGCAAATCCAAATCAAAGAAACAGATCGCTATAAAACTGCTTTTACCATTCCCTTTGGCCAATATGAATGGAACGTCATGCCGTTTGGTTTAAAAAATGCTCCCTCAGAATTTCAAAGAATTATGAATCAAATCTACTCTCCTTATTTTGAGTTCATAATAGTTTATATTGATGATGTGCTGGTTTTTTCTTCGTCCATTGACCAACATTTCAAACATCTCAATTTATTTCTTGAAGTTACTCGACGTAACGGTCTGGCTGTTTCTAAACCAAAACTTTGTCTTTTTCAAACTAAGATACGTTTTTTAGGTCACTACATTAGTCAAGGAACAACTGTTCCAATCGAAAGATCTCTTCAATTTGCAGATATATTTCCTGATCAAATTTTAGACAAAAATCAATTACAACGGTTCCTGGGTAGTTTAAACTATGTCCTTGACTTTTATCCCAACAATCTTCTTTGTAAACCTCTCCATGATAGATTGAAAAAGAGTCCCCCTCACTGGAGTGACCACATTACCAAAATAGTTCAGCAAATTAAGAGGCAGGTTCAGAGTCTCCCGTGCCTTCACATAAGTGATCCTTCTCTCCCTAAAATCGCCGAAACCGATGCCTCTGACCTAGGATATGGAGGAATTGTTAGGAATTT